CTCTAATGAGTAACAGGTGTAAAAAAAACAATATAAATAAAAATGTACAAGTTTTACAATTAGAACATATACAAAGATCCTCTTAAATCGCAGCTCTTGTTGACATGACTGATAGTGCTGCTGTCTTTGGAATTCCCTTTAGCGTCTAACAAAGTTAAGACAGGTCCACTGGACGGATTGAAAAAATAACAATTAAAAATTAAAAACTTGTTGAAACGTTTCATCTTTTATCCAAAACACTTCCTCAGTCTGAGGAGCTGCAACAAACCCAGTCTTATAAATAGCACCTTCTCAGAGTGGATCAACCAGTTTGCTGCTGACATCCAGAACCAGCTGCTCACATGCTCAAGAAGGACCATCAGCCTAACGAGGGATCATTAGTGCCCTGATGGCTGTTTACTATTCACAGAGGGCTGAGGGTGCATTCACACCTGATAGTCCAGTAGACTCGGTTCTGGACCAATATTCATGACCTTTTGTTACATTTGAGCTGGTGCGTTTGCATTCACACTGCACTGTGAAGTCAAGCCAACCTGTTCCCTCGCTCGCCTGTGGGGGCGCTGCATCAAGAACTACTGAAAGAAACAACACAAAAACCTCTGAAGACATGTCTTCTTCTTCTTCTTCTGGAAATAAAAACAAAAACGAAGTGGCATCAAGTTTTAGCAGTTTTAGGAGTTATATTTTGTCATTTTTCAAAAATGGACTCAGCATGAGCAGAAGATGAGACAGAAGACCATGGAGAATATTGTTTTCCACACAAGGCAGCTGACGGATCCATATGAGGTCAGAGAAATGCGTGTTTGTTTGTCCTGCGCTGTACTCCACTTCCTGCTTGTGGAGCGGGGCTCGGTCTGTTTACATTCACACTGTACTTGAACCACGCTGGAGTTTTCTTCTACCGGACCGAGACCTAGGTTTTAGCCCGGGCCAGAGTTCACCTTTTTGTTCCGTGACAGAGTTCGATGGTGCGTTCAAACCTCCCCAAACGAACCGGACTTTCTAGGAAAACGAACTAGAGTTCGATTAAAGCGGACTAAACAGGGCTGGTGTGAATGCACCCTGAGTGATACTAGCAATAACAGCATTTTAAGAGGGGGACAGTTGAACACGGATTGAACATGGAGGCTCCGCCCGTTTAATGATGGACAGTTTATCTTCACAAAGATGGCCTCCTTCACTCCTCTCTCAAACCATCGTTCCTCTCTGTCCAGGATGTGAACATCTTCATCCCTGAAAGAGTGACCGCTGGCCTGGAGATGAGTGTAGACCGCAGAGTCCTGGCCTGATGATGTTGATCTTCTGTGCAACCCAGTCTTTTGGATAAAAGATGCAACGTTTCAACAAGTTTATTTTCTTTTACATTTTTTTTAATCCGTCCAGAGGCCCTGACTTAACTTTGTTAGATTTTTCTACCTGGATTATTGAGCATGCATCAGGATATCCTTTTAATCTCCCCAACAGAGCTCATCTGCCATCCAACTCACTTCCAACCACTGAACCACTCTGTTTGAAAAAATACATCAGAGTTGTCAACCGTCATTCTTAATTTTGGCAATCACCTCAAAACCTACAGGTTGTTGTCTTTTTTTTTTACGTCTTTGCTGAAACAGAACTACAACAAAACATTTGTATTCCTGAATTTAGTGAGCTGAAGTTGGGGAATCCACCGGAACAAGCTGAAAGGAACAGCAAGAGGCTTGTGAAAGTTGTAGGCGTTTCAGACGCTGAATCAGTTGTACCCTGGCATTAATCTCTATTTGGCTTGAACTAATACCTCCCCTGTACGGAAAAAATAAAGAAAAGTAGAGGTGTCCTACTCTTGGGAGTGTGGGTCTCATCTTAGGGCTCAGGTTGAAAACCTGAGCGTGGAGTGGGGGGTTGTGGGTGCTGCCTGTGGAGTTTTGTGCTGACTCTATTCAGTTCAAAGCTTTGAACCGGTCCAAATTGCTGAGCTCTGCTGTACTGATGAAAGGAGGGTGTGCGTGACTAAGAGCTCTGGTCAGGGCTAATTCCTGGTGTCTCTAGTTAAAGGTGAGGGACAAAGTGGAAATGATTGTACAGCTCTAAAGCCAGTTGGTGTTTTTCATGTCAACAAACAGAAAGTGTGGAGCTCTCTTCTGTTAGACGATTCAAACAATATGCTTTAATCATAAACATTTGGTTCTGTGCTGTCTCACACAGTTTAATGTTTATTTGAATCAGACAAGAGCAACTCTTGGCACAGGGACTCCGTAAAATGTATCTCACATGTTCCCTTGCATGGGTTGTCTTGCTGGTCATTTTTTTTCTAACGTTGAAAAATGGGGCGACGTGTGGCGCAGCTGGTAGAGCTGTTGCCTGAGAAGGTTGCTGGTTCAAATCCCAGTCGGGGGCCCTTCTGGGTGGAGTTTACATGTTCTCTCCGTGCTGCATGTGTTTTCTCCAGGTACTCCAGTTTCCTCCCACAGTCCAAAAACATGCATGTTAGACTGACTGGTAACTCTGAATTGTCTCTACATGTGAGTGAGAGAGTGAAAGGTTGTTTGTCTCATTTGTCTCCATGTGTCCCTGTGATGGACTGGAGACCTGTCCAGGGTGTCCCCTGCCTCTTGCAAAGTGACTGCAGGACGTGGGCACCTGTGACCCTTGCGGCCCAGAAAGGAAGAAGTGGGTCAAGATAATGGATGGATGAATTCTAGAGTGCTACAGCTGTATTTTACACCAAAGTGGTTGAAAATATCAAAGTTCATGCTCAATAATCCAGGTAGAATAATCCAACATGGATTTGCTTCCGTGTTGGAACCACTTTGGCCATGATTGCCAAGAACGAGCTGGCGGGGGAGAGAGTGGACTCCAAAAACCATCTTAGCACCATCAAACTGGTTGGCCCATTATGAGAAGGTGCTATTCATAAGACTGAGTTTGTTGTGGCTCCTCGGCCTGATGAGGTCAGAGGACCTGTTGGATTTTCTACCTGGATTATTGAGCATGCATCAGGATTACGTTGTTACTTTTATATGGAAGATTAAAATGATTTATGAGAGTAACTAGCACCAGCAGTAGCAACGTGTTGCCATGTAGGTAGAGCCTGGGCGCACTTCCTGCTAATCACCATCATAATTATATTTCTGCCAAAATAATGATGTACAGTAGTCCCTCGTTTATCGCGGGGGATCCGTACCCTGAAGCTAAGGCTGGGCGATATGGACCAAATTTAATATCCCAATATTTTTAAGCTAAATCACGATATATGAAATAAATCGCAATATTCAAACATCTGCGAAGTTCACGGCACAAACCAATTCAGACATGTTCCTAGTTTTAGAATTTTACATCGCTTTACAATGTAGCTGTTTTTGTGTCGTTTTTTAATAGAATTTCTTTCCATTTTTCAATTTCCACGCTTTCTTTTATGATTGTCTACTGTTGTCATCGTTCTTTGTTAAAACAGGTCTCTCCTGTAAATGAGTGCTCGAGGCTCAATGAGACTAACCTGTAGAAATAAAGGTGGAACGAATCCATTTTTTTTTCTTTCCATAAAGTAATAACAAAATATATTTCTGAGTGAAAGCTTTGTCCCTGTTGTCACACAGGCACATTTATTACAAACAGCTGACACTCTACTAATAAATGTCTAAAAAATAAACTATTTACATATATTAAAGTTAGATGGGCAGGAAAAGGAGAACTACTGTCACAGATTTTCAAGTCTTCCAGTGAGGGGTGGCATGACATAAAGCGCTGGCTTATCATATCACTAAAGACACGTCCTTAGCGGCTCTGTCTTGTTCCACAGTTGAGACTGGGACAGTGTCCTTAGCGATATAATAAGCTGCTGTTTTACCTGAGCTGCAGCTTCACACGCTTCATACTCCACTTATAGAGCTGTTTTAAAGGTGAGAAAGCTTCGTGGTGCCGACCTGTTGTCAGGACTTGTTTTCAGCATAGTCTACAGAGAACATGTTTCTGCTGCTCATCTGACAATTTAAATCAAACCATCTCCAAATAACAGCCATTGTTCATCTTTGTGCTCAGCAGCTCAGCTGATCTTCGACATCCTCTCCTGTGTTTACTTGTTGTGTAAACTCCTGCCCACCTGGAGAAGCAGGAAGTGAGGGAGCACAAGCAGGTGAGGGGCTGTGTTTGTATTCAGGGAGGGACAAGGAGGGGCTGTGTGAAGTTACATATATACATATATGCGTGTGTGTGTATGTATATGTACTCATTGTTAGCGTCCATTCCTGAATATGAGATCGGTAGAGCACTTTATATGAGAAATATTATACAAA